GTCACTTTCTTGATTTTCAGACGAGTCAGTGGTTTGACTGTCTGACAAGTCGCTTTCCTCTTCGTCGGGTTGCCTAGCATCGAGGTCTGCTAATGTTCTTTTGTTTCCAATAAGTTTTTTATCAATTCCAACTTCCACAAGTCCTTTGATGAAAGTGTTCAGACCTCTTGGTGCTTTAATATCGAGGCTGTATTGTAATATAGCATACTCAATGAGCTCTGCTATGTTAGTGACAGGAATTCTTCGTTGATAATACATCATTTCACCATGACTATTCCAGTACAATATATTTTTGGAGGAGGCTAAAGTATGAAGAAAATCAAGAGTTTTTTTTCTTGGTATCTCGGGAGAAATATCTTGCAAAATGTCTTCAATATCGTCATCCTCAAAAATGTCACTGTCAGGGTCTGAAGCAACGCTCTCTTCAGAATCGCTCCTCGAACGCTTCATGTTGCTCCCTCTGAGTGCTAACCTTGAAATGACTTTTCTTCTTTATTGCTGAATCTTTTAAACCAAAAACATGCCCAAGGCTGACATGAGAGGGGATACCACATCAGAGACAAAACCACCTCCTTGTTGGGCAATAATTTCTTTCTTATTCTTAAAAGGAATTGATGAGTCAGCTAAATTTCTAATTTATTCCACATGTTCTCTTAGTCTTTCTTTCTGATCATGGGAAATGGGTATTGTGCCCTTCAAGAGATTTGAGCAAACCTCACAGATGGCATGAACTTGTTCTGGAGTTGCGGTGGTTAGTAAAAGGCTCCTTTGGTGTGAAGAGCAACTACTTAAGTGACATAAATAACCAAACTGCTTACAGATTAATTGGCTCATGTTGTCTGTCCGGGCGGTTGCTTACAATGAAATAAAACTAGAGAAAACAACGACATTTCTAGATTCTAGAGTGTAGTATAGATACTAATATAGACTCTGCTGTAGACTCTAGTGTATGTAGTATAGGTTCTATACTCTACTCTAGTCTTATACTGCTATTATACTATTTTCTCGATTTTCTAGTATAAATTTTAGTAAAGACTATAGAT